CATTAAAAGGCATAAAAATACCCAGGGGCAGAGTTTAATGAGAGGCCCTGAAGTGACATTGCCAAAGCTTTTTCCTCCACTTTTCCACTCGGAAACCACATGGCTGGTGGTAAACCGTGAAGAGTAATTAATGATATTTAATTTATAAAGTGTGTTTCATTAAGTATTTCTCACCAGTGGGAAAATGTCTGGCCAGTTCTGATTTCGAGTTAATGGGACTTTAGTCAAACACAATGTGGCTGCCTCAAATTGCCATTTAACCTTTTCTTTCTGCAGCTAATAATCTGCTGAAAATGTTTAAGGGGAATTGACAATTCAAGTGGGGAGAAAATAAGCAAGAAAAAAATATTCACATCATACTACTGATTGGTGGAACAAAAAATCTAATCTAGAAAGCACATGAGAAAAAGACTATGACTAACAATGAATGGCATTAAATATAAAGAAATGTGATTGTTATTAGGGCATTGTGTGAATGCATCTTGTGTGTTTTGTGATGTTAAGCTGTGTTTTGCAACAGTGGACAAAGCGTCATGTGTTTTTCTGAGAGCATCTGGTCTAGAGCAAAGTGCTGTAGTGGTTGAAGAAAGCAAAGACCTTTTCAAGCAGGCTCCAGTATCACAACAGTCTTAAATAATGCATCTCATCCTAGCAGGGGTCTAACACCATCCGCAAGCAGAAAGAATACTAAGTGTGATATGACATTAAATTTCAGGTATGCCTAATTTTAATCAATAACAAAAAGCAAATTTCCACCCCAAGCTTTCACCATTATTTTAATGCCAGCCAAAATCCTCTCTGAAAAACCGATATAACCCTTTCGTCCTCACTACGGAGAAAAACTGAGCAATAATTTACAGATTTCTTATGCACTGTAAATATATCACTCCATTAAGGGGGAGGACCAGTTGATGTCTATGGAGTCTGAGACGTCAAAGTTTTCTCTCTCTCTTTTTTTTGGGGGGGGGCGTGCATTTTAAAAGAGGGGGCGAAAAACCAAGCCAATGATTCATAATACATTTCATAAATACTTCATGATTTTTCATACTTAAGCTGGTCTGGCAAATCAAAAAATTTTTGTCACCCTTTTTCGTCCCTCATGTCAGTTCATCATTTTCCGGGGGTGTCACATGTCACTTTCACTTTACAGGAGCGATAGGAACAGGCCGAGAGAGGAGACAGCTCTACTCTCAAACAGACACACACACACACACACACACACACACACACACACACACACACACACACACAGAGAAACATGGAAGTGTTTGTCCTGAATTGAAAAGCTCTACCTGATCTGTGTCACGGGTAGCTATGAAGACAAATAGGAGATTATCCATTAAAATAGCCAATTCACCACCCAAAAACACAGCACAATTATCAACAAATTATGTAACTAAAATCTTAATACTTTTATGAAGATTTGTAGATAAATTCGATCATTAAATATGCTTATTACTACAGAACTTTTAATATAAATGATAAATATTATTTTATATTTATTATAATTATTATAATTCCAATTTAATTTGATTTTCATGATTGTTCTATAAATTGCAATGTACTATTTATTTTAGTTTTTTATTTTATTGAATAAATCATGTAATACATCTAAATAATACGCTTTAAAATTAGGATTTAAAACACACTCAGACTGTTTTTTAGTTTTCTAGTTTGGGGGGGGGGGGACTCCACTTTTTTTAAGTACATGGTATCTTCATT